CCTGGCATCCTTACACATCCTCTGTCCTTCTCCTTGACACCACCATGGCCTCAACACACAGTCACTTCTGCCCAGAGGCAAAAAGCAAGACCCCCCAATCTTCTAGCTACATCTCTGACTTGCTTTGGTAGCCAAATACAGGGTTAGGGGTGGGGGGGGCTGGGATGGTTTGATCTGGCAACTCCTTCCTCCTTTGTTGGCTTTTGTCCTGAAAAAGATGGGATCACTGACAGTGACAGATACTTTTTCTTGCCTTCCTTTAAATATTGGCTGGGTTTAGGCTCCTCTCCCTGTCGCCTCAGGGACCAGATAGCTTATCAGATAGATTGATCCTGAATCCCAAAACCTGTTTTGATGAGTTGTCTGGAGGAGCCTGGGATATAACAGCAAATGCAGCTTGGGCTTACCTTTTGACTCTGTGTGTGTGTGTGTGTGTGTGTGTGTGTGTGTGTGTGTATGTTGAAATGGGGATAGAGCTGCAAAGAATGTGGAAATCTTCTTGGCAAACCAACCCAGCAGTATTAACACATTCTCCTCTCTTCACTGAAATAGATGTGTTGCTCTTGGTTTGATATGTGACCTTGATTAGATAATTCGCTTAGGGTCTCCTAACCTCTATAAGGGATAACTAGATGGCACAGTGGATAGAGTACTATGCCTGGAGTTAGGAAGACTCATCTTCTGGGTTCAAATCCAACCTCAGACACTTACTTGTGACCTTAGGCAAGTTACTTAACCCTGCTTGCCTCAGTTTCCCCATCTGTAAAATGAACTGGAGAAGGAAAGGACAAACCACTCTGGTGTCTTTTCCAAGAAAACCTCAAATGGGGTCGCAAAGAGTCAGACACGACTGAACGACAACATCTCAAATCTCAACAAGGTGACTTATAAAATTCCTTCCTTCTTCAACATTCCATGGTCTATGATTTCAAAGATCCTTCTATGCTATGACATTCTGGGCTCTAAGAGCCTTGGCTCCATTGACATTTTATGTTCTAAGTTGGAACCACTCACAATTAAATAGCAGCTAATTGCAACTCTCCAAGCTAGCTCCTTTTTCAGGGACTATGAAATTGTCCCTACCAATTAAATGAAGTGGAAGGTTTTTTATGGAATCTTAGGGTTAGAAAGGACAAAGGTTTAACCTTCTGCCTTCAGACTTAACCCATTATATCTCAAATCTCTGTCCCATTTGGAGAAAGTCATGCAATAACCTCCTAACATAATTTATTACTGGCTCTCACAGCTCTGGAATGATAGCTTTTCTGATGCCTGACTCACTTCCATCTTGATAATAGTGCCACCTTGTCCCTGATGTATGAAAAAAAAAAAACTAGGTTTCCAATCCATCCTCTGACTTGTTATTTTATAATTGTATGACCTTGGACTAGTCACCCCCATTAGACTGTAAGCTCCATGAGGGCAGGGACTATTTTTTTTTGCCTCTTTTTGTATCCATACAACTTAACACAGTGCCTGGCACATAGTAGGTGCTTAGTGAATGTTTATTGAATTGAATTGAAACATTTCTCTGGGTTTCAAAGTCTTCTTTTGCAAAGAGAGGGGTGGACGTGGTACCCCCTCAAGTTCCCTTCCACCTAGAAATGTGATCTTATGTTTCAGCAGTATATGGATGGCTCCAGGAGGTCGCTGAGGAACAAGGCCCGTGGTGGGATTTCAGATGCTAGGGCAGACCATTTAAGCTCATATGTTCTTGTCCCATCCTTGAAGGGGATGGAAATTAACTGGTAACCATTTTCCATAGATTATCACTAGAGTTTAAAGAGTATCAATTGTGTGCCAAGTGATAGGTACTGTGAGAGGCTGAATCAATTCAACACGCATTTAGGTGCCAATTACATTCAAGGTACTCTGTTACATTCTGGAGAAACAAATACAAAAGCAAACCATTCCCTGCCCTCAGAAAGCTTATACTCTAATGGGGAGATACAACATGTACATATATATATACACAAATATAAATCATATACAAAATGCTACCATGTAATTTCAAGAAGGCAGTGTTAACAATAGTGGGGTCCCTAGCCTCTCTGTTTTTCCCTGCTCCCCAGTGGTCCCTGAGGTACCCTTCATTCTTTTGCTCACCTGAGAAAACAATCTTCCTTTCCATCAACCTTATGCTATGGCTGTTTCTGCTGTCCTTTTTCCAGGAGGATGTATTTACAATGGTTACTTTCCCAGTGGAAAACTGTCAACATAGAGATACTATGGGCCCACTACTTTGTTCCACAGGATAAAGCTGTGAAGACAGTTTTCTGGTTGGGGGACAAAGCTGAGGTCTGCTTTAGAATAAGAGACCCCATCATGTTGGCTGCTGTGCAAAGTGTTCTAGAAATGGAGTCAGACGCTTGCGATCACCTTCCAATCCTGACTCTTCTATTTATTTGCTGTGGGATCTTGGTAAACTTACCTTCCCTCTCTACATTTTACTCTATTTCTCTGTAAAAGGGGGAGAGGTTGGGCTAGCTGTCCTCTAGGGTCCTTTCCAGCTCAAAATCTATAGTCCTATGTATAGTAGCTGTGTGACCTTGGTCAAGACAGTGAAATTCTCTGTGTCTCAGTTACCTCATCTGTAAAATGAAAGGGGCGGACAAGATGACCTTGAAGGTACCCACCAGTTCTAAATCCTTCTGGTGTTGCTCACAATTAATATAACACTTGTCAGAAATGATGAAGGGGAAGTTTCAGAGAAACATGGAAAGACTTGCATATGAACTGATGCGGAATGAAATAAGCAGAATCAGAAGAAGAATTTCTACCATGACAACAATCTTGCAAAGACAAACAGCTCTGAAAAATTCAGGAATCTTGATCAATGCAACAATCAATCACAATTCCAAAGGATTCATGACAAAACATGCTACCTACCTCCTGTCAGAAAGGAGTAAGAAGATGTAGATTAAGACACGCATGTATATTTTCAGTCATGTCCTACTCTTTGTCACCCCGTTTGGGGTTTTCTTGGCAAAGATACTGGAGTGTTTGCCATTTCCTTTGCTACCTCATTTTACAGATGAGGAAACTGAGGCAAACAGGGTTAAATGACTTGCCCAGGGTCACACAGCTAGTAAATGGTTCTTCCTGACTCCAGGTCTAGCACTCTGTCCACCGTGTCACCTAGCTACTGTGTGCATACATACATACATAAATACATACATATACACATACATTGTATAATACATATATAATATATAAACGTTATATATAGAAGGGATATAACTTATATACCCATATCACATAATATATATACCCATACACAGAAACACATACACATACATATACACAAACATATGTGTACATACAGACATATCACAATATGTGGTATATTGTGGTCTATATACACATGTGTACAGACATGTATAGAGAGGAACACATGTGTATATATGTATATATATATATATTTCTATATATGTCTCACTATATAGTGTATATTGGACTTGAACAATGCAGGAATTTCTTCTGATCAATTATCACATTTATTAGAAGCATTTTACTTTTCTTTTTCAATGGGAGATGGAAGTAAAGAGGGAGAAAATGCAGATTTTGGATAATTGAAAAAATAAAATTGAATTAAAATCATTATGCAACACTTTATGGTTCCATAGGGCCCTACACCTATTCTGTCATGTGCTTAGCTCTTAGCATAATGCCTCCCATACAGCAGGCTCTTAATAAATGCTTATTGATCCTCATGGAGCTAGAAGGGACCGTGGAGATCATGGACTTGTGGGATCCGGCATCTAGAGCTGGAAGGGACAGAGGAGGAGGGGGAAGAGGAAGAAAAGGAGGAGGAAGAGGAAGAGAAAGAGGGGGGAGGAGGAGGAGGAGGAAGAAATGAGTCAGTCTCCTGTTTCCTGGTCTAAAGTTTTCCAAATGACAACAGAAAGAGTCCTGATTTAGAGTCAAAGGACTTGAGTTCAGGTCTCAGCTTTTCTCCTTCCTAGCTGTGTGACCTTGGGTAAGTCCCTTCCCCTCCTGGGGCCTCAGTTTCCTCATCTGTACAGCGAGGAGGCCTCGCAAATCTCTTTCAGGTCTAAATCTGTGATTCCATGAATACCTATTATATGTATGTCCTTGGACAACTCACTCTCCTTCTCTGGGCCTCTGTTACCCTATCTATAAAATGGGAGGGTTGGGCCAGATGAATTCTAGGATTTTCTCCCCGCTTTCTCCCATTGCACCACACTGCCTTCTCTCTGGATGCTGGAGATCCCTGATGGAGCATCATGGGGCCACAGCCATAATTCTGTTTACTGAGGCTGAGACCATTCAGCTTCTAGCCATTTTCTCGACCGTCCATGGGGATGCCAAGCCTGAGAAAAAATGCAATAATGCTAAATAAAAATCAAATACTGTGGTCATTATTCTTTTATGGAACCCTCATCTTGTGCTAAGGACTCCAGCTGGTGCACACAGATGCCCTTGTCTCTCTGTAATGACTTTGTCTTTTCCCCCTAGCACTGAAACTCAGAGCTGTGTGGCATATCCAGCTGAGGAGGGACCCCCCAAAAAGCTAAGACAGCATACAACTCAGGAGGCCTCCATTGCCAATGGCTGGGAGCAGGGAAAGGCTAGCCAGGAGCTCACATCCACCAGGACACCCAGGTGAGTCACTACCCTTGCCCCTCCCCAGAGCCATAACTAGGGTAGGGGAACCAGGGCTTTCCCCCAGGGTGCCAAAGTTTCATGGTGAAGACACCACTGACTGCTGGGCTGTGTGACAAGAGCACTTGATTTGAAGTCAGAGGACCTGGATTCCCATCATGGCTCTTGCCACGTGCTGATAATCTGGACCTGTTTCCTCATTTGTAAATGAGATGATTGGCCTCGAAGGCTGGATTTTGAATAAGATGACATGAGTCAGGATGCCAGCTTTGCCACTTTCTACCTGTGGGACATGGGGCAAAGTGCTTTCCCACTCTGGGCCTCATTTTCCTTCTCTCTAAACAAATGAAGGTTGGACTAGATGACCTGAAAGGTCCCTTCCAGATTCTGTCAATGTGAGGTCCAAGACACCGTCTTCCCAAGGACAGCTTTTAACTGTAGCTTTAAATTCATGTACACACACTGCCTTCTGCCAGGCTCTCTGTCAAGTGGGTAATGATCTGTAAACATGAGATTTCCTAAGGGAGAGAACCAAAGGATCCCAGCATTCTCCCTATGCAAAGGGGAGAATCCTTTCGTGGAGGGGAATAAATCTCTCCTCTAATGCGTGTGTTTTGTAAATTAAATTTTTCCCATGAGGAACTTTCCTTCTCTGTACCACCAATGTTCGCTAGGGTGGGGTTCGTCCTAGATCCAGGCCAAGAAAGTCATTCCAGCCACCCAATCTGGAGGTCTGCTGGAGTTCCCAGGAGAAGGGTGCCCTCAAACTGTCCTGCCTCACAGGGGAACCAGACCCACACTCTTTTGAGCCTCGTTCCCCCAGGACACCTGGTTAGAATCCTCTCAGTCAAACCCTGTTTAATCCCATTACCAGAAGTTATGGTATCATGCTCAGAGGCCCACTGGGAGGAGAAGTTGGGCAATGCCCTTGAATCAGACAGCTCAGTCCCAAATTCCTGGTACCCCTTAGGAAGGAGAGAGGGAAAAGACAGGGAACAGAAAGACCAGGTGATTGCTTTCCTCTTTGCCCTATGATTCTGTGACAGAGCCCCTCATTCATGGGGTGTCCCTAAGCCTCCAAGGATCATGAGATTTGGAGCTAGATGGGACCTTTGAGCTCATCAAATATGACTCCTTAAGCCCAGAGAAGTTAAGTGACTTGTCTAGAGTCACCCAGCTAGCTAGTGAGTAGCAAAGCCGAGATTCCGACCCAAATCAGGACATGGTAGCTTTGGAGTTAGCAGACACCTCCCTGGCCATCTAGTCCGTCTTCCTCAGTTTTACATATGAGGAAACTGAGGCCCATGGAGGCAAAAGAGATGTGTACCCAGGTCCTCTGAGAGTCCCAGCTCTTTGCACTGAGCCACTCTATCTCCCAAGAGGATGAGATAAAGTCCTCTTGGGAAGGGGAAATTAACATCAACAACAAAGGTAACCAAAGTTTTGTGAGCAAGCCCAAAGGCCCCCGAGCTCAGCTGCTCTCCCTTCATGAGCAGCCATCTCTTGGCTCTGCTTTATGAGAATGGTCACAAGATCAGGGGAGGATGCTCCACGCTGTCATATCTGCAGCCTGCTCACCTGCCAGGCCCAACCTCCCCTTGGCGGGCCTTTAATTAGACTCTGATTACAATCGGCAGAAACAATTAAATCCTGTCAGCCCGAGAGAGCCCAGGCCTGGCTTCAAAGGCAGAGGAAGTTATCTTCAGGAGGCAGAAAGGGGATTTCTGCTCAAGGCAGCCTGGCACTGAGAGAGGAGGGCAGGGGGGAAGAGGGCAGGTTAGAAGCCTTTCATGATTATCCAGGGAGCAAGGGGAAGGGGAGCTCGGAGCTCTTGGCCTGGCTTTGAGGGGGATTGCACAAAAACGTTGAATATTAGAGGAAGGGCCCTGAGAGTGCACGAGGTCAGAGCTGGGAACTGAGGTGTTTGATCGGGAAGGGGTCTTAGAACAGGGGATGTCAGGGCTGGGAGGGGCCTTAGAACAGGGGATGTCAGAGGTGGGAGGGGCCTGGGGGAGTCTTAGAACAGAGGATTTCAGAGCTGGGAGGGGCCTTAGAGCAGAGGATATCAGAGGTGGGAGGGGCCTTAGAACAGGGGATGTCAGGGCTGGGAGAGGCCTTAGAACAGGGAATGTCAGATCTGGGAGGGGCTTTAGAACAGGGAATGTCAGGGCTGGGAGGAGCCTTAGAACAGGGGATGTCAGAGCTGGGGGGGGTGCTATTAGTGGATGCTATTATTCTGCTCCTTTTACAGAAGAGGAAACATGAACTATTTAGGGTCCCACAGCTAGTAAGTGTCCAACATGGGATTCAGACTCAGGTCTTTCTGTCCCCATGTCTGGCACCCTTTCCTCTATTCCAGACAAATCTCTCCCGAGAGAGGCTGCTAAGTGTTGCAGTGACTAGAGTTCCAGGCCTGAAGTCAAGAAGACCTAAGTTCAAATCCAGCCTCAGGCATTTACTAGCTGTGTAACCCTGGGCAAGTCACTTAAATTCTGTTTGCCTCAGTTTCCTTATCTGTAAAAATGAGGATGATAATCTTCCAAGGTTGTTATGAGAATCAATTGGGATAACAATTATAAAGTGCTTAGCACAGTGCCTGGCACATAGTAAGCACTGTATAAATATGAACTATTATTATTACAAGACCAGCCCACTTCCATTTCTAGGCAAACATGTCCTTTGTGATATGTTTGCATAGGGATCATAACTCTAAGACTCAAAGGCACCTCACAGGCCACCAAGTCTGCTCAGTTCATTTTACAAATGGGTCAACTGAGGCCCAGAACTTGCCCAAGGTCACAGAGTTAGTATATGGAAGAGCCAAGATTCAAACTCAAGTCCTCTGACTCAAGTGGGTGGTCTTTCCATACGATATACACCAGTCATCATTGTTAATATGCTCTGATTTTCCATGAAAGATAGAGATATACTTGTCTATTTTCATGTCCTCTCTAATACAAATGGAATCTAGGATCCCATGACTTTAGGATCCCAGCAATGTAGATTACAACCCATCTCCCATCTCTGCCTGGCCAGCCTATGTGGCTCTTCCATGTCTTCCCACCAACTTGACCCAGCAGGTCTATCCAATATGGTGGAGGCCTTTTCTGATTTCTCCCCAAATTGCCAAGGCACCCATGGAGCATTCTGCCTGTCCTTCAATCATCCCTCACCTTCTACATGGCCAAGCCCATCTTCTCTTCCTATCACTGATTCTTCTCTTGTGGTTAGTAATTCATTCATTGTGCCTTGCCCACACCCACCATGAGTCTCTCCATTGTGTGAGGAAGACCTAGGTTTCCATTCCTACCTCTTTTTAATTCTTTGAAGGCAGTGATGTTCCAGGACTCACTGTCACACAGGAACAATAGTAAAATGCTAATATTGAAATGGTGAGACCTGGCTTTCGTGGAAATCTTGGGGTCCATAAAAGAGCTTCACAACTTCCAAGTAATCCAGACCGCCCTCTTCCCATTCAACTCAGGGTGATGTAGCAGATAGAAAGCCGGCCTTTAAACCAAAAAGACCCAGGTCATCAATCCAGCAGGGGTCAGAAGTAAGAGTAAGGCTTGAATTCTTCCTGGTTGAGGTCAGCTCTCCACCTCAACACACAGAAGGTGCTTAATAATGTTTAACAAATTGACTCCATAATCACGTTTATTTTTCCTGTTCCTACTGGCCAGACTTTTCAGGGTCATCTTGGCCTTCCCCTAGTTAGGGTGAATTATTGAGGTTAGCCCACATCTGCATCTGCTGAATGCCAAGTGACTCTTCATCCCAAATCATCCCTTTTTACTCCTGAAATGGTGTATTTAATGGCCCTCAATCCAGTCCCATTATCCAGGAGATAACTTGAGTTCATTTACCTACCTCCTGTGCATTTTAATTTAATCGAGTTGGAACCTGCTTTGCATGGGGAAATATGCTTATTCCTAGGGATGGAGCCTTTTTAAGGTAGGGGGAGAAAGTATTGGTGACAGCTCTCATTCCATTACACCTTGGCAAATATGCTTTTAATAATCAGCTGTTATTTAACATATATTACATCCTTATTAAGTTGCAGTCAGAATAGTAGAGGCAGTCATGACTCCTTGGTGCCTAAATGCCAATTAATTATTTAAAAAGTTATTTATTTACCAAGGTGAACCATTTGAGCATACAATAATAAATCTATTACCAAGCTGTTAACCTCCATAAATGCATTGAATATAATCAATTGCCACTTGGGTAACATACCACCCGTCTCATTAGATCTACATTAACTCCTTATTTGAGATACTTAATTTGAAGTGTGACCAAATTAGGCACGGAATGTTAATTAAGCACTGGTCCTGCTTATTAGATAGACTGGGAATCAAGATCCCTGGGGACTGACAATAGTCCCCAGGAAGCTAATGGTGGGATCAATAAGCCCAGGGTTGCAGTCAATGATGTTTGCACCCTGGGCATGAGATGTACCTCAAATGTTGGGGGATAGACCAGGGCAAGGGGTCAAGTTGGGCTATAGGCAAAGATCCATGAAAATTGCAAGGCTGATGCTGGGACAGCCAGGCCTGAAGGAGAATCATCTGGGGTGTTATCCCAGACGAGGATGAAGAAAGAAACATGGCAGACATTTGGGAGTGTCCTGCCAAATTACTAGAGGCAGTGAGAAGCAAGGAGAGGAAGTGTGGAATGCTGACTTCCTTGGGGTCAGGATCCAAGGCTCACTTACCACCCCGGGGCAAGGGGTTTCACTCCTCAGCATCCAGACACATCTAAGCTCGAATTGCCAAGTAGGACCTGATCTGCACTGGCAGAGGGAGTTTCTTCACCTGGAGGTCCCAACCTAGGTGAAATCACAGGTCTGTTCAAATACAAAAACAAAAAAAAGAACCAATACAAGTATCACTCCCTAAATATCAAACTCTGTACTTGGCATTGGAGATGCAAAGAAAAAGAATGAGATAATCCCTACTCACAACATGCTTACACTTTAATGCGGGAGACAAGTTCATATAAAAATATATGCTGCGTAAATATGCAGTGAATAGATACAAGGTAGTTTGTAAGTGGCACAGCAGATAGAGCACTGGGCCTGGAGTCAGGAAGACCTGAGTTCAAATTCAGACTCAGACACTTCCTAGCACCTTAGTGACCCTGGGAAAGTCACTTAACTCTGTTTGCCTTAGTTTCCTCATCTGTAAAATGAGCTAGAGGAGGAAATGGCAAACCACTTCAGTCTCTCTGTCAAGGAAATCCCAAATGAGGTCATGGAGAGTCAGTAGACATGACTGCAAATGACTGAACAAGTTTGTAAGGGAAGATGGGAACGGTTACTTCATGCTGAAGTGGGTGACTGAACTGGGTCTTAACCGATCGAGCAACATTTATTAAGCCCTAAAATGTGCCAGGCACTAGGTTAAGCATTAAACAAAGAGAGGTACCCTATGAGGGGGGATTTAAGGAGAGAGAGCATCTAGGCATATGGGATGGCCAATGCGTGTGGTGTGGAAGAGAGAGAAGGCCAAATAAGTAATTAAAAGCAGAGGCAGTATACTGTAGTGGCTAGGCTTTAGGGTCAGAATGACTTTGGTTCAAAACCAGATACATTCTGACATGGTGGCTCTTAGAAATTCAGTTAATCCCTCAATGCCCCAGGCAACTCTAAATCAGGCTATATAAGTTGAAGAAGAGTTGCTAGGCTTCCCAGGCTCAATTCAAACCTGAACAGCAAATTTTTAAGGTTTTAAAAACATTTTTATTTCTAAGGTGCCAATGTCTTGCCAGCACCATCTCCATTACGGTTCTGGGCCCTACTGCCCCACCTTAGTTACAGCCCCCTTACTGCTCATCCTTTGTATCTCTACAGTGCTTTCCGGGACAAGGACTTTACCCCACCGCCTTCCTCCAGGGGCAAGAAGAAAAAGAAGAAATCGGCCCGGAAGAAGCGAAGGAGGTGAGGTCTTCCTAGTTTGGAGGAAGAACCAGAGGAGAACCAAGCAGGGAACATTTTAGTTCTCTTGTGTGGTGCTAAGCTAGAGCAACCACGCACTGGGGTTAAGTAGGAGAAAGATGTCTAGAGGTCAGGGTTTGAGAACTGAGTGGAAACTTGCTGTGTGACCAACGGACAAACCATTTCTTATCTCTCTGAACCTCAGTTTCTTCACATGTAAGAAGAGAAAAGGCCTCCCACGTACAATGGGAACTTAATAAGTGCTTGAATTTAACTAAATTAAGAGAGTCATGCTGGACTGGAGCATGGGGTGGGGTGTTGGCCAAGGGGAGCTTTGGTCAATAGAGACCCTAGAACACTCACTGAAATGACAACATGTGTTTCTTGGTACAGAGCCAACCAGAGCCCATGTCCAGCTCCATGGGGCATCTCAGGTCTGTGACCTAGAGCTGGGAAGGGCCTTAGAAGTCATCTACTCCAGTGGGGTCAAACTCAAGAGAAAAGGGCTTAAGCCACACCTAAAGATCCCTGCTAACTGCGCATTGTCTTTGTTGTTTAGTCATTTCAATTGTGTCTGACTCTTCATGAACACATTTGGGATTTTCTTGGCAAAGAGACTGGAGAATTGTCATTTCCTTTTCCAGTTCATTTTACAGATGACGAAACTGAGGCAAACAGGGTGAAGTGACTTGCCCAGGGTCATACAGCTAGTAAATGTCTGAGGCTGGACTTGAACTCAGGTCTTCCTGACTGCAGGTCTGGCGTTCCATATACCAACCTACCTCACTGCTGTTTGCATATTGACTTAGAAAACCACAAATAACCATTATCTATGTTTTATTATGTCTTGATTTATTTTGTTAAATATTTCCCAATTATATTTTAATCTGGTGCTGGCTGTACTGGGGAGAGTTACCTTTCGATGACACTGACCGCCTCATTTTACAGATGAGTAAACTGAGGCATTGGAGAAAGGATGAGATGTACCTAACAACTCACACAGGTAGCAATGGCATAGCCAGGGTTTAAGCCCAAGCTTCCAACATCAACTGCAGCCTTCTTTCCATTCATCTTTCTGTCTTCCTTACCCACAAGATCCTAGCATAGAATAAATGCTTTTAATTGATTGCTAGAGCTAGAACTTAAAGGGGCCTTGGAGACCATTTAATTCAACCCTTCCCTCTCACTTTAGAAATAAGGCCACTGAGGCATAGGAAGGTAGAGTGTTATGTTCAAGGACATTTAGGTAGGATTTGAACCCAGACCCTGTAACTCCAAGTAGAGTGCTCTTTCCAGTACACCAGGCCTTTTCAAATTCTTCATCAACCCAACTCCCAAATCTAATTTCATGTAATCTTAGCATCATCAAGCTAGAGTTAGAAGGGACCTCGAAAGCTGGTTACTCCAACCTTCTCATTTAATAGATGAGGAACCTTAGTCATGGAGGCTAAGTGATTTATCTACACAAAGGTAATAAATGAGGTGGGACTTGAACCCAAGTCCTCTGCTTTTTGCCACACTAACTCTAGTGGTCTTTTCTAGCTTTATCATTCCAAGATGAAGCATTGGTCCCATCAGAGGTTATTAATGGAAGCCGGGCATATGTTGAGTATGTCTCTGATTGTTGAGGGAGGCATTAGATCCAAGCCACAAACCTTCATTTAGTTCCTATTATGTAGATTGAAGTTCCCAAGAAAACAAAGAAGAATGACACAGTCTCAATTCTCAAGGGGCTTGCAGTCTACTGGGATTTGAGATAGGGCTGAAAAGGTAGGCTGGACCCAGATGCTGCAGAGCTTCAAGAATATTATGGAAGATCTCCATCTTGATACCCCATCCAGGAGAAAGCATGGGGCTGATGGGACATCTAAACAACCCTGGAGGGATTCCAAGTAGGAGCCAATGAATCCATCAATAAGTTTTTTTTATTAAGAACCTACTATGTGCCAAGCCCTATTCTAAGGACTGGGAATAGAATGATAAAAGTGAAAAAGAAAATCCTGATCCTCAAAGAGTTTATCGCCTAATGGGCGATACAACATATATGCAAATGATCAATCAACAGGTATTTATTAAGCACTTCATACTGCCAGGGTTTGGGCTAGGGTCTGGAGAAGGCTTCTTGGTTTCCTTCAAGTCTTAACTTCTACAAGAAAGCTTCCCAATCCTTCTTAACCTAATGACTTTCTTCTGAGATTGCCCTTAATTTATCAGAGACAGAGACAGCCAAAGACAAAGACAAAGAGACACAGGGACAGACACAGAGAGACAGAGAGATAGAGACAAAGAGACAGAAACAGACATAGAGAGAGAGATGGAGAGAGAGAATCAAAGACCGAGACAAAGACAGACAGATCTATACACATATGGATCTATATAGTATATTAGCAAATAGATATAAGCAAATATGTAGGCAAACAGATAGATAGATATAGTAGATTACTATATGTACATGTGGAAACAAATATAGCTATAGATGACTGCAGTAAATTAGTAAATATAGATGTAGTAAATTAGTAAATAGGTAAATATGTATGTATCTAGATAGATAACCATAGTAGATAAATAAATAGATATTAGCATATATATATATATATATAGATATCCAGAGATCTCATTTGTCCATAGTTGTTTTCATGTTGTCTCTCCCATTAGACTATAAGCTTCCTGAGGGCAGGAATGGTTTTTTGCCATCCCTGGTATCCTCATACAAAGCACTTAACACAGTGCCTAGCATATAGAAGAAGCTTAATAAATGCTCCTTGGCTGACTGAAGATACAAAGATAGGCATGAAGAGTCTCTGTTCTCAAGGAACATCCAGTCTTTGGTTAGGGACCTTCAATGCCAGGCTCTTGCTAACAAAATGGGTATGTGAAGAAGGAAACAATTCCAGGAAACTCTTTACGTTATAGAGGATATTGTTATATCTAGAGCAGAGTTGGGTAAAGAGGTAGGACAATATGGTTCCAGAACCAGAGACCTTAAAAGATGAGGCAAGGATGACCTGTGACCCTCCAGAGCTCAACTACAGCTTTGGAAAAAGGGGTGCCTCAGCTCCTAAAATAAGGGTGCCCCAGGGCAGTGCACACAGGAGCCTGCAGGTGGCAGCAGAGAGCAACCCCACACTGCATCCAGGCTCCACATTTCCATGACTTTTCAGCTCAAGGTAGACTTCCATAACAACTTGGCACATTAGCCTCTCTCTAGCAGATAACTCCCTCCCCCCTATACACAAAAATCAGGGGGGTAGGTCAGAGATAGACAGGGGAGGCTTGCCATAATGCAAAAGAGCAGGAGGTAAGAGGTCTGTGCACAGATCAGCCTTGGGCTCCCAATAACGATGGAGCTCTATAGTCAAAGAGGAGACTAGCCAATAGATAAGTTCAATTCCCACCTCCACATCTTTGTACAGAATGTCTGTCATGCCTGGAAGGCATTACTTCCTTACCTTTGGCTCTTAAAATTTCTAGTGTGTGTGTGTGTGTATGTGTGTGTGTGTGTGTTCTTGAACAGTGGTTCAAACCCAAGTCTTCTGATGCTAAGAACAGTATTCTTTTCAATTCCCTGGGTGTTAAGCTAACTTCCGGGCCATGAGGCATGCTGGGATGCCAGCTTCTGAATAATTTTTAGAAAGTTTAATCATCTGAAAAAAAAAAAAAACCTCATGAAACAAACACCTGGGCTATTGGAGGGACCTGTTGTTGCCATAAAGATCCCAGCATGTTAAAGTAAATATGGAGAACATTCTTCATAATTTTGCCTTTGGTCAGCCCTATGCAATAGTTATAATCTAAATTTTTAGAGGCTGGATTGTAAAAGAGAATGCCAGACCAGACAAATCAGGGGAGGTATCTTTCTTATGTGCATGCATACCCCCAATTTAAGGCCACCTGGAAAAGCACATGGGGGGTAATTAGGAGGGGGCTTCAGGTGTGGCCAAAAAAGGGACCTGAGTTGGGACCAATGGACAGGGTAACCAATGTCAGCTTGCTGAGGTTAAGAAACATTTCGTTTTTATCTTTTTATCTCCAGCACAAGCATACAATGTTTACCGAATGTTTAATTGGATTGGGAGTAGCCTTGGGCTATAGGCCAGGAATTCTGTGGGGCTGTCCTCAGGAAGACCCCATATAGGGTGGCTAGGCCCCTCGGACCATGGCCACCAGGTCATGGGGGGGTCAGTGATCATTGACATTGGGGTTGACAAGTTATGTAGCAGCGAATTGTATAGCAGTGACTGTGAAGGGCCTTGAGCCATAGCCCATAAATATATTCTCAGAATATAAGCACCTGGAGGGCAGGGACTGTTTTACCTCCTTTTGTCTCTCTTTATTAAGCACCTAGTATAGCCTCTAGCACATAGTCAGCACATAATATATATTTGTTGGATTTGGGCTGGAAATTTTTGACTGACAAGCCTGCTTGGGGTGAGGGTGAGGAGAGGAAGGAGGAGAGGCAAGTGGCCTGATGGTTCTCTCTGAGGCCTGTTGGGAAGGTATTATATCACCTGCCTATTAGCAACTTTAGCCATATTGAAGGAAACTCTGGGCATGAGGACATAGCCTGGTGTGGTTAGTGCCTGAACAAATCACTTCCCCTCTGTACCTCAGTTTGGATAGAATCATCTCTAAAGTCCCATCTTCAACCCACCACCCCAAATCCCACCTCTGACATTCCCTGTTCTAAGGCCCCTCCAGCTCTGACATTCCCTGTTCTGAGGCCCCTCCCAGGTCCCACATAGTATCAACCCCACTCCCCTACCCTCCTGACCAGGCAGGAGGCAGGGCTCCCAGGAGCCAGGTCTTAACTCACATTTTCATAAGCTGACTAAAGCCAGGCAAAGATGAGAGGTTTAGAAGTGTGGGCTTGAGGGTGTTATCATGATTTAAGCAGTGTGGGCAAACTCAACCCCCTTAGGACCACATTAAGTTAAGGAGCAATCATTAGAACATTCATTCAGCTTGAGGATGGCAGAAAAGTGAACCTCTGGTATTCAATACATTCAATTGAACATTGGCAAGAGAAGAAAACAGAGAGCGTGAGGGAGAGCTGGGCTCCACAGGGTCCTCCCTCCCCCACCCCTTAGTCACTCAATTGCTGTTCCTACTCTATGGTCCTCACCTGCAATAGTCCCAATCATTATCTCCCCAGAATCCCTTAGAGAGAAATCATTCCTTCTTCCCCTCCCACCTCATCAATCCCACCTGGGCCAGAGGCAGGCAGCTCTGCTGAGCTGTGCTTCTTGAACACTCAGCCTCTTTCAGTGAGACTGCCTCAAACATGTCCCCAGCATCCAACCTCTGAGACAGAAAAAGCATTGGACTAGCGTTACAATTCCTGAGTTCAGGTCCCAGTGCTGAAGTTTCCTAGGGGAGTGACTGCATTTACGTCACTTCCCCTCCCTGTGCCTTGGTTTCCTCATCTGCAAAATAGAATATTACTATTTGCTCTGTTCTTTTCAGATTAGGGAGCTATGGATATAGAATGTTGCCCATCCTGTCAGACTCTGGGGCTGGGCAGCTTAATTTAACTGGGTTGCTTTTTCTCCTTATCTGTTATTTTAAACTTTATGTTTTGTTTTGTTTTGTTTTGAGAGGCAATTACAGTTAAGTGACTTGCCCAGCTAGTAAATCTTTGAGGTCAAATTTGAACTCAGGTCCTCTTGACTCCAGGGATGGTGCTTTATCCACTGCATAAAATTTTCTTAACATTCACTTTTTTTTTATTTTGAATTCCAAATTGTCTCCCTCCTTCCAGTCCCTCCCCCATCCATTGAGAAGGCCCGCAATATACCCATTATACAGGTGAAGAATCCCTCCTCTCTTTTTTATTCTTTGTCTTGGTCAATGCTTCTCTGGAGTGGGGAAGGGTGAGGAAGATTTTTGGAAATACAGAGAAAGACAAAACAAAGTGTATCAATTTTTTTTTAATTTAAAAAATTGTATTACCATCTACCTTACAGGGTTGTTGTGGGAAAAGCAGTTTGTACACTGTCGGGCATTAGACTTACTATGAGCTGCTAATTTTCATTTTTCAAGCCCCTCTCCCACAGGTCCTTTTCTAAGCTGTATTCCTTTCCCTTGATAGGTCCCCTTCCTATAGTCCATCTCCGGTAAAAAAGAAGAAGAAGAAAAGTTCAAAGAAGCACAAGAGAAACAGGTATTCTCCCTCATTCCTGGAAGCATAAGTTTGAATGGCTGGAAGAGAAGAGAATGTGAGATTCCGGGGTCATCTTGGCCATCCCTCGGCAAATATTATAATTCTATACACAGCCCATTCTTCCTTATGGGACCATTTTCAATTCATGGAGCATTTTTGGGGCACCTACCAGGTGTCATGGAGCCAGGCACTGTGCTAGGCTCAGAAGACACCCTCCAGAGATCATATTCTGCTGGGGGGAAAGGGGAGGAGAGTGTTACCATATCTATCAAGCAAATAATGAGCATTAATTAAATAAGCATCCATTAGTGCTAGGCACTGAGAATTTTAGAAGAAAAAAAAAGTCTACCGTGAGCTAGGCCCTAGTAGTACAGAAGCATGAATGCAACAGTAGCTGTCCTGAAAGAGGTAACAATTTATTGGCAGGGAAAGTAAATACAAATATTACTACAAGGAATTGCAAGAGGGAACTCCAATTGACATGTGGGAGGATCAGGAGAGACCTTGGGTTGGAGATAGCCCCTGAGCCATGCTTTAGAGGACTTTTGGATCCGAAAACATGTATGTAAGACTTGATGAAATCCTAGGGACTCGGGCTTCGGTCCACTGGACTCTGGGTCCCTCTGGCTCAGCATGCTGACTCACGAGGGTCTGCATCCCAGGTTCGGGGATCTGCTGAGATTCTAATCCCTGACAAATTTTCCAAAACCATTTCCCCACCTGGAAAAATTCAACTTCAAGGAGTCATCATGAAAACACCTGGGATTGGGGGTGGGAGAAGAAGGGAGTTGGTTCCAGAAATAAGAACTGCTGTTTTGGTCAAAAGCAGCCTGAAAGATGAAGGGTGGGGAGGAAATGCTTTAGGTGGAAAGATTAAAGAAGTATAATAAACACATCTCAGCTAAGTAACTACTGAGGAAAAAGAAGATAACAAGCAAAGCAAATATTCAAAGGGTGGAAACCCAGCAGGGAGGAAAAGAGACTTATTTAGTCTGGGAAAAGATCAAAGGGATGTAATTAAGAAAAGGAAAGGTGGAGACTTGACCGTGGGTTATCCTTCCTCCCCAGGAGGTCAGGGGAGTGGGAAATGCCTCCCTCTTGGTAAGCTTAGCATCCAGTGGGTTAGAACACAGTGTTAAAAAGAGCAAGGTCAGGATTGGGATGCCATTTGTGCTTGTCAATTTCATTCTGTTCCATGGCTCCAGGTCTTACTCTCTTGATACTGTGCCGCCATCTTAGAAATGGATACCCTGGGGCACCAGTAGTAGAGTGGGGAGCCATGCACCAGTCCCTGCTACTGCAGGCAGCTATCTGGCAGGACAGACAGAGGGCTGCACTTGGAAATAGGAAAACTGGTTCAAATCCTCCCTTAGGCACTGACCAGCTATAGCCTGAGGAAGTCAAAACTTCTCTGGTTGGGAGCCTCAGCTTTCTCCTCTATGGAATGAGGACAATAATTACCACCCCTCCCAGGGGTATTGCAAGGATCAAGGGAGATAATGTGTATAAAACACTTTGAAAACCTCGAAGTACCATATTATTATTGTCACTGGTAACACAGCCCAGGTATTACTAATAATCTATGTTTGAATTAGGTGGGCAGAGTGTTGTGGGACAGTCATTCCCAAGGTCTTTGAGGATAGATGGAGAGACTGACAAAAGGATCTCTACTTTCCCATGACCAAGGTCATCTGTGGATCTTGAGCAAATAACGTGGTTCAGAGTCAAGCAACAGCTCCAGGGAGGCAATGAGGGGATGGGAGAAAGAGCAGTGAACTGGAGGCTTGGAAACCAAGAGGCAACGTGGGCTAGATAAATCACCAGACGCAGAGTCAGCAAGGACTGAGTTCAGATTCTGCCACAGACACTTACCAGCTGTGTGACCTTGGGCAAGTCACTTATTCTCTGTTTGCCTCACTTTCTCACCTGCAAAACCTGATGGTCTGAGAGAGGTTCCTGCTAGTTCTAGACCTAGTTCTAGACCTTGATGATCCTGCTAAGTGAGCAGCTTCCAGAGCCCTTCTTGTCTGACCCTTTCCATTCTTCCCTTCCTGCGGTCTACCAAGCACATAAAGCCTCCAGGGTCCCCAGGATACCTGCCAGAAATTTCACTTAAGCCAAATTAGAGTGACCCAGGAACTGCTTTACCCCTCAATTATCACCTCCTAAGCATGGGAGGTTCTGGGCCTGGATTTTCCAAGTGCCTGAAGTAATGGATCTATTTGTTGGGTTTATATGAAATTTAAAGGCCAGAATAGTCAGACAGGAGAGAGGGTTGTTTTTTCTTTGTTTGTTTGTTTTTAATTTCTCTCTGATAAGTAAAGTTTCATTAAAAAGTCTGAAAAATAGTAGAGAGTTGTGAGTCAAAAAGTATCAGCTTTCCTATGGTAATGGAGAGAATGCTTGGCCTGGAATCAGGAAGAGCTGAATTCAAATTTGGCCTTGAACACTTATTAGCTGTGAGAACCTGGGCAAGATGCCTGACCTCAGTTTACTCATCTATAAAAATGGGGATAATAATAACACCTACCTCCCAGGGTTATTGTCAGGATCAAATGAGATATCTGTATCTGGCCTTAGACACTTACTAGCTGTGTGACCCTGGGCAAGACACTTAACCCTGATTACCTCAGTTTTCTCTTCTGTAAAATGAGTGGGAGAAGGAAATAGCACATTACTCCAGTATCTTTGCCCAGAAAACCCCAAAATGGGGTCGTAGGGAGTTGGACTGAAATGACTCAATAACACCATAGCACATGATAGGTGCTATATAAATGTTACTTATTATTATTATTAAATAGAATTGAATATAAAGTCAAATAACCTGGTTTCCAAGCTGGACCTTGCTACTCTAACAATTAAAAATCCATTTCTAGGCCCAAGGAACTAAGGAACTGATCCCCCTTCCTTCTCCTTTAAGGGGCCCCTCCGCTCATAGTCTGGTCTGTGCTCAGATCTTGGAGATCAGAGGTCAGAGTCCTTTCCTCATATTCTTTGGCTTGTTACATCTCCCACCTTGTGCCCCAGGTCAGGGGCAGGGGAATAGGGTTGGAAATTCCTTAAAGCTTAATATTACTGACTAAAGGCCACAAGGACAGCTAGGTGACACAGTGAATAGATCACAGGGCCTGGAGTCATGAAGATTCATCTTCCTAAATTCAATCCAGCCTCAGATGCTTACTAGCTGTATGACCCTGGACAAGTCACTTAACTCTGTTTGCCTCAGGTTTTTTATCTGTAAAATGAGTGAGAGGAGGAGATGGCAAACCACTTCAATATCTTTGCCTAGAAAACCCCACAATGGAATCACAGGAAGTTGGACATGACTGAAATGACTGAACAATGACGTAGCACAGTATCTTTGCCAAGAAAACTCCAAACAGGGTTACAAAGAGTTGGGCATACCTGAGAAACAACTCATTAATAGCAAAGATTCCAGTTCTCCAAAAAGCTTATGTCTAGGATCTCCCAAAAGAAGTCAATGCACAGCATGAGTCAGATATGGGACAGCTATTTATTTCCTACCCACAAAAGAAATTCTAAAAGACACAGAAGACTCACAGCCACATTAATGAGTTCAACAATCAATAACTCAAAATTCATAATTACTATTGCAATCTGCCAGGTGGTTTAATTAACACACCAGAACATAAAAAAGTCTATGGGACTACCAAACAGGATTCCACATTTCCCCTCGGCTCATAGCCTATGTGCTCTCACAGGCTGGGCCAGGGGTTGAGTTTATCTTCCCTACAGTGGTTGCCTTGTATCAAATGAGATGATGTTTGTAAAGTACTTAGCACAGTACCAGGAACATAGTAGGCACTATCTAAATGCTCATACCCTTCCCTTCCTCTTTGTTGGAGATTGTTCTTCCAGCTGTTAGTAAGATCCAACTAATTAATCCAAGAGCCTGAACTTGTCAAACACACAAGGTGGCCTCAGATTTTATAACCAAGATTGCCATTTGGGCACCTAAATTCATGAAAGATCAGACACAGAAGAGGTTGCCCCAAACCCATGATCAAACTCAGCTAGGAAAGACATGGGCTTTAGCTGCCATATTCTCATGGTCACATGGAGGACAGGGTGGGCAGGTAGAGTAGGCTGACTGTCCCCTCCACCCATAGAAAATGACTTGAAACAGCCCTGATACAGCCAGAAGCCAGGAAGAGAAGAGAAGAGAGTCAGGGGCAAGGTCATTCTCACTTTCAAGGTTGATGCAGCCATCTGCTCTTCCTGCTCAATGTACAGGAGGTAGGTGCTTTCTCATCTCAGGAGTTTTTCTGTGCTGAGTCACAAGCATGATTGGCCAGAAGTATCCAAGTGCTGAGTCACACATGGTTGGAAACAGGAGAGATGGTTTTGTGAATTCCCTGTTCACCATTCCCTGGTTTCTGACTACCCATGTGTTTGACCTTGGGCAGGTCGCATCTCTCTGAGCTGGTTTCCTCCTCTTTAATGACCTTCCAGTACCCTTCCAGCTCTAAGTCTTTGGAATTTTATGTCTTTAGGAGCCCTGAGGAGAGTGATTGTATAGGTGTCCATACCCAGTCATCCCATAAGTAGATCACAGATTCTAAAGTACAAAGGAGACTTTTTTCTTTTTTTAAAATTTTTTAATTAATTTATTTTGATTTATCAACAATCACTTCCATAAGCTTTTGAGTTTTAAATTTTTCTCCCCCTCTCTGTGCCACTCCCTCTCCAAAATGATGGGCAATCTGATATGGGCTATACGTATACATTCCTATTAAACATATTTTCACATTAGTCATGTTGTAAGGAAGAATTAGAACCAATATGAAGGACCTCCAGAAAGAGGAAACAAAACACAACAGAAGAAAAAAAATTAGCAAATAGTATGCTTTGATCTGCATTCAAATTCCATAGTTCTTTCTTTGGATGTGGATAGCATTTTCCATCATGAGACTTTTGGAGATGTCTTAGATCCTTGCATTGCTGAGAGGGGTTAAGTCTATCAAAGTCAGTCATCACTCAATGTGGCTGTTCTCCTGGTTCTACTCACTTCACCAAGCATCAGTTCATACAAGTCTGTCTAGGTTTTTCTGAAGTTAGCCTGTTCATCATTTCTTATGGCACAATAGTATTCCATCACATTCATATACCACAACTTGCTCAGCCATTCCCCAATTGATGGGTATCCTCTCAATGTCCAGTTCTTTGCCACCACAAAAAGAATCGCTATAAATATTTTTGTACATGTGGGTCCTTTTCCCATTTGTATGACCTCTTTGGGATACAGCCCTAGAAGTGCTATTGCTGGGTCAAAGGCTTTGCACATTTTTATAGCCCTTTGGCCATAGTTCCAAATTGCTCTCCAAAATGGCTGGATCATTTCACAACTCCACCAACAATGCATTAGTGTTCCAATTTTCCCACATCTTCCCCAACATTTATCATTTTCCTGTTTTGTCATGTTGGCCAGTCTGATAGGTGTGATGTGGTACCTCAGAGTGGTTTTGATTTGCATTTCTCTAATCAATAGTGATTTAAGGCATTTTTTCATATGACTGTAGATGGCTTTAATTTCTTCATCTAAGAACTGCTTGTTCATATCCTTTGACCATTTATCAATTGGGGAATTACTTGTATTCTTTTAAATTAGACTTAGTTCTCTATATATTTTAGAAATGAGGCCCTTATCAGAGACACTGGTTGTAAAAATTTTTTCCCAGTTTTCTGCTTCCCTCCTAATCTTGGTTGCATTGGCTTTGTTTGTGCAAAAACACAAAGGAGACTTTTAAACCATCTAATCTGATCCCTCATTTAACAACGAAGGAAACTGACTCCAACAAGAAGCAATACCTTTCCAAGATCAATATGGGTCATCGCTTACAGGGGGTCTAAATCTGCCTGATCACAAATTCCACCTGTTGCTACTGCTCCAGTCTGCTGGGGACAAGTAAAACAAAGCTAATCCTTCTTTCACATGAAAGCCCCTAAAGCACTTGAAGACGGCTCTCCTATTTGCTAGGTCTTCTCTTCTCCAGATTAATTCCTGCTTCTTTCCATTGACCCTTCTGTGGCTGCATCTCAAGGCCTTTCATCACTCTGGTCCTCTCGTTTGGATACTCTACAGTCTGTCAATGTCTTGTTTATGATCCAAACACAGTATTTCAGATGGGGTCTGGCCAAGGCAGAATAAAATGGAACAATCAATTCATCCATCAACAATCAGGCATTTGCAAAGCATCTACTGTGTGCCTGGCACTGTGAGATGTTGGGAGTACACATACAGAGCAAAAAGAGATAATCCTGCCCTCAAGGAATTTGCATTCCCTTCCTTGCCCTGGATATAATCCCTTTCTTAATGTAGCCTATCTAAGATTGTGATAGCTTTTGAGGAACTAACATACTGAAGGGCTGTTGACTCATTCTATCAAGACCACCAGGTCCTGAGCTAGCATCTAGTTTATGAAATTGATTGTTTGAACTTGGCTAGAAAAGTTTACATTTATAAATTCTTTTCCATTCTATTTCATCTTACTAGTTTCATCCTAATGTATTGTCTATTGGGATCTTTTCTTCTCCCATCCTGACTCTACCGTCCAGTGTGCGAGACAGTCCTCTCAATTTTGTGCCATCTGCTAGTTTGATAAACAAGCCATCTGTGCCTTTAGCCAAGTCATTGATAAAGATATTCAACACCACAAGGCTAGACCCAGATCCTGGGGCACTCTGGCTGACATTACATCATCAATGACTTTGTTGGGGGTCCTGTAATTCAGTCAATTACAAATCCACCTATCATTTAGCCCACATCTCTCCATCTTGTCCCAAAGAATGCCATGATGTTCAAGTGGTTCATTAAAATGTAGGTAAACTCTAGCTACACAGTTCCCTTTACTTTACAGTTTCATGACTTTATCAAGAAAGGAGATGAAGATAGTTTTGTCATGAAGGAGTGGTGGGCAGAGGCTTTCTTCATAGAATTTGAGAATTGGAAGGGACATTGGCAGCCATCCAGCCCAACCCGTACACAAAAGGAATCACCATTATAACATACCCAATAAGTGGTCATCCAGTTTATGCCTGAAGACCTTCAAGGAAGGGAAACCAAGTACCTCTGAAGGCTTATGGTCCCACTTTGGGACAGTTCTAATTAAATGGCAATTTTTCCTGACATGCAGCCTAAATTAGATTTCTGTAACTGGTTGTGTTCCCTCCTCCTCCACATGACAGTTCTTTCAATAATTCCATACAAGTAGCCCCAAGTCTTCTCTTTACCATCCTGATTCACTTACTTTGAAAGCTATTCTTAATAGTGAGTCCAAGAATGACACTTAGAACCCTTAGAAACTAACCAACAAATGATTTTGGGACCCCATCCAAGAGCTAGATAGTCCAACACAGAGCTGCCACTGGAACTTGGTCACAATCGTGTTAAAGGTAGAGCTGTCCATGTTGGAGTTCTGATTCTAAAGATGTTCCTGTTTGAGCTTTAGTTAGCTTTCTTGATTTGTTTTGTTGTTTGCTTGGAGGTTTGGTTTTTTTTGTTTTTGTTTTTGTTTTTGTTTTTGTTTTTAATGAATGGATGGCTGATGGTGAAATTTCAGGCACTATGAAATGAGGCATAAAGATATTGAGTAATGTGTCCAGAGATAGGAGTGGTCAGGAGGGGAGACACAGAGTAGGATGAACCTTTAATGGCCAGCATGTTTATCATCACATCCCCCCCCTGCTTGAAATTCAATTCATAGGGATTTATTGAGCCTCCTATGTATCAGGCACTATGCCATCTCAGATGAGACAATGGTTGTAGAGTACTTTACAAATGTTAGAGTACTCTGTGCTTGGGAGCTATTCCATGTTACTGATGTCCAGGATAATGTGATTATAGGATAATAAATCTAGATCCAAAATGAGACTTCTGAGGCCACCTAGTTCCGTAACTTCATTTTACGGGTGAAGAAACTGAGGCTCAGCAAGGTGCAGTAGCTTGCCTAAGGTCACACAGACAACAATAGACAGAAGTAGGATTTGAACCTGGATCGTTGGATGATGAAGTCAATGTTCTTTCCTCTGTACCAGGCTGACTCTCCCATCTCTCACCCCAGAGCATCACAACTTTTAGAGCCAGAAGATATCTTGGAGGTCATCAAGTCAAAGAGCCTCATTCTTCATATAAGGAAACCGAGGCCCAGAAAGGGGTAGTGATTTGCTAAAAGTCACACAGATCAAGTCAGAATTTGGACTTATTCATGATCCTTCCAAAATCTGCCCTTAATCCCCTACCTATCTACCAGTGCACATACAAAATGTGCTCCAATGTGCATCACTAGTGCAGAGCTGAATCTAATAGCTATTTTAGATTTCTTGGTATTTCACAGTGAATAATGAAAAGAGACCAGAAGATAAGAGAAACCAGGGTTCCAAACTTGCCTGTGGCACTGGCAAGCCTTGTGAGCCTCAGTTTCCTTTTTAGTAATTTGGGGTGTCATAATCCCATGAGTACCTAAATAAGTGGGTTGTTGGTGAAAGAGAGAGAGAGAGAGAGAGAGAGAGAGAGAGAGAGAGAGAGAGAGAATATATGCAAAATGTCTTGAAAACATCTAAAAGATGTAGAAATCTCAGATATTGCTAACCTTATTCCCAGCCAGGGCAAAGCTAACCCATAACCCAACAATCTCTATCATGAGGGTTATGGAGTTTGGGTGAACGGCCAAGTTCAGCCTGGGGTTCTTCATTAAATTGTATGGTGTCTTAACACATCCTCTGACCTACAAGAACCTGGGCAGGGAATGGGAAACAGGAGGGGGAGGGGGAACAGCAGGGAGAGGGAGAAAAGTAGAAGTTCTCTAAGATCTTGTGAGATATTGGAAATATGTGCATGCTTTCCTCTCAAGGAATACAGGATCAGATTCCATTGTGGTTCTTTTTTGTTTGTTTGTTTTCCACAGGTCTTTCTCCAAGAAGAGAAGACACAGGTAAGAATCTGGTTAAATTTTTGCTGCTCCTTTGATTCCTGAAGCCTAAATATCACTCCTGGCTCCCCTGGGGCTCAGAATAGCTGTGGGGTGGAATTCAACTGCATAAACTTGGGTAAATCATTTTGTGCCTCACTTTTTCATCTGTAAAGTGAGCAGGTTGGAGGGGAAATAGTTGGAATTGATGATCTCATGGCCCCTTCCACCTCTGACATTCTGTGGTTCTATCAGGCAGTTTGGTAGCATAGCCAGGGCACTGGACTCAGGGTTTGCATTCTGTCTCTTCTATTTACTGCTCCAATGATTTGACAGTCTCCCTCTCTGGGCCTCAGTTTCCTCATCTGTAAAGTGGCTGACCTCTTAGCTCCCTTGCAGCCCCAGACACTGCATCGCATAATGGATAGGGCACTGGATTTGTAGTCAGGAAGACCTGGTTTTTAATCCTGCCTCTGCTACTTGGTAGGTGTGTGACAATGGACAAGCCTCCAACTTTCCAGGCCTTGGGTTCTTTATCCGTAAAATTAGGCTGTTGGGCTTGATGGCTTCTATCAAGAACTTCAGAATCCATGCTGCTCTGATTCTGATTGCAAGGCGAGCCAGGGACTGCCTCTCTCTGCTACTTCCCCCATTCCAAATGTTCAGTATCACTTAGACACAGTCACTGTCCAATACCTCTCCTTGGAAACCTTGCGTCATCAGTGTGTTTGTTTTTCCACTTGATAAACCTTGGCCTGGGCACCGCAAGGTTCCCAGCAGAATGCCAGGCCTGCCCATAAGAAGCCAGGGCACTGATAATCAGACTCAATTTGTTACAGCCCCACCTGAAGGGTATCCCCTCCTCCCTTAGACTCAAAGATGTACAGCTAATAGGAGAGAAGAGCTGATCAGATTCCTGAATCACAGATGTTCTGCTACTCTTGGAGTTCAAGTGTTGGAGGGCCAAGATGGCACCCTTCCCCTCTACCCCTGCTGGCAGGGCTGGTCTTTACAGCCTGTGGCAGAGGGAGAGCTAAGACAAGCTTGTCTGATGACAGATGAGGAGCATCTGAGATGAGTGGAATTCTCAGCTGGCTTAGTCACAATGGCACCTGAAACTCATGGGCTGGCATTCTCCAGAGATTCCCCACCCACAGCAGGCAGATGCTTGAAAGCATTCAAGTACATGGGATGAAATGAGTCCTAACTGAGGAGGGTTATTTTTGCCTCTCAGAGCACAAGGTCTGTGGAAGACCGGCCTCCTTTCCTTCTGAGGCAGACCTGATTTGAGACACCAAGACAGACCCCCACCTGGTGCATCCAGACACACACACACACACACACACACACACACACACACACACACACACATACACACACACACCCTTTACCTCCCTAAACACGTTCCAAACACTTCCCTAGGCTGTAATGGCAAATAGCACTTTCTCTATGGGTCAACCTAGACACAGAACTGGGTTCAAATAATGGTTTTCTGACTTACTACTTAAGTGACTTTGGGCAAGTCACTTAACTTTATTAGGACTCTGCTTCCTCAACTGTAAAATGAGGAGGGTTGGACAGGATGACCTCAAAGGTCCTTTCCAGCTCAATCTATAAACTTATGATTTCTTTAGGTCCCATGGGCTCAATGATCCACTGTTGCCTTCTCCTTCCATCAATCCATCTTTTATCAATTCTACAAGAATTTAGAAACATTTATAAAGTGCCTATTGTATGCCAAATACTTTAATAGGCACTGCAAATACAATGTCAAAAAAATTAAATGGTGCCTTTCTTTCCTCAAGGACTTTACATACTACTGGGGGGCTTATAATATTCCTCTCTCCACATGACGAAAAGGAAGTCAGATGAGGACTCACCTATCCATGGCTACTTACCCAGGAAACCAGCCCCACTAGGATTTTCCAGGCATTGTTGTGACTGAGGTCCGCACGAGCCCATTTTCCTCTCTCTTTATCATTTTCGTAATTAAGCATAGGTACCCTAACTTAGCAGAAAGAGCATGCTGTGCTTTGGAATAAGGAGACAGTTCGGTTCAAATCCCAAATCTATTTGCTATATAGCCTTGGGCATATCACTTCTCAGAGCTCTAAAGTGGGGGTGATAACACCTAACCCACAGGGTTGTTGTGAATCAGTTAAAAAGCATTTGTTAAGCACCTGCTGTTTTCCAGGTACCAAACTAAGCACTGGCAATACAAAGTAAGACACAAAACAGTCCCTGCCCTTAAGGAGTTCACAGTCCAATGAGGGGGGAGGGAAACAGACATGCAATCAGCTATATACACACAAGAGATATCCAGTGTAAAGGGGATGTAATTCAGAGGGAAGGGATCAGAGTTGGGGGGAAGAAAAAGGTCTCTTGAAGAAGGTGGGATGTGAGCTGAGTCTTAAAGGAAGCCAGAGAAGCTAAGAGGTGGGAGTGAGGAGGGAGAGCATTCCAGGCATGAGGAAAAACCATTGTGCAAAGACACGGAGGTGGGAGATGATGGCTTGTGTGCTAGGAACAGCAAGGAGGCCAATGTTGCTAGATAATAGAATGAGTGGAAGGGAAGAAGGTATAAGAAGACCTGCAGAGGTAGGAAGGGGCCAGGTTAGGACCCTTTAAGTGTCAAACAGGCATTTTATATTTGATTCTGGAAGCAATAGGGAGCCATGGGAGTCTTTGAATGGGGATAAGGGGAAGGGTAGGTGACGTGGTCAGATGTGAAATTTTAAAAGATCACTTTGGTGGCTGACTGAAAGACGGACTGGAGCAAGGAGAGACTGAAGGCAGAAACAGCTACCAGTAGCTAATATGATAGTCCAGGAATGAGGGGATGCAGGCCACACCAGTGTGGGGGCAGTGTCAGAGGACAGAAGGCAGATAACCCTTCAGGTTATGAACTGGATCTCTGATGTCATTGGATAAGTAACCCTCTAGATGAGGAAAATCCTTCAGCACATTCTCATAACTTAAAATCAGAGAACTGCCTAAAGCATTGAGAAGTTATGACTTGCCCAGAGTGATAAAGACAATGTGTCGAAGGCAAGACTTGAACCCACACCTTACTGGTCCCAAGGCCAGCTATTCTCCTGGCCACAATGCCTCTCCATGCTTATGGAGCTATCAAAATGTGAGTCATCATCATGATTATTCACTAAGAGATGTCAAAGGGCCGCTAGGTGGCGCCATAGTGCATAGAACACTAGTCCTAGAGTCAGAAAGACTCATCTTCCTGAGTTCAAATCCGACTTCAGGGACTTATTCGTTGTGGGACTGTGGGCATGTCACTTATCCCTGTTTGCCTGTTTCCTCATCTGTAAAATGTGCTGGAGAAGGAAATGGCAAATCATGCCAGTATCTTTGCCAAGAAAACCCCAAATGGGGTCACAAAGAGTTGGATGTGACTGAAAAACAACTAAACAATGACAAGATATCTACCCTTTCCATTGTGAACTCCCTGCCTTCCCATTCTCTATCCCTTTTCTCTATCACCCCAAGGACCAGACAGCCCCTTAGGGTGAGCCATCTTCTTATTTTGAGAGACCTTGAATAAAAGGACACATGAGTGGACAGCCCAGTTTCCCTCTCTCTCTCTGGTTATTCCAGGAGGAAAACATCCTGAGAGTCAGGAGTCTCTGGGAAGATTGCCAGAGAATGTAAGAGAATATGGGACAATCATTCAATTTAGCTCCCTCATCAGTGTTTCTTACAGGAATTTAAAATTATTCAGAAGTTCACAGGATGAAAAAAATCAGAAAATTCTCAGCTCAAACTCAGCTCTTTTGCAAGCCTGGTTGTCCAGGGGCCTGAGACCAAGGGTGCTTAAGGCTCAAGGAGGAGAGCTCTGTGCTCATGGAGGCTTGACTCCACTCCCAGTCACTTCTGACCCATTAATCAAGGCATTTGGGAGCCCTTCCTCAGGGGCAGGATTGATTTAAATCCCTCCCCTCATACCTTCCTCAAGATTCATTTGTCCAAATGTTCCCTTTTACTCCCATTGCTATCCCACCCCACATCCATTCAAAAAGGGATTCCAGCTACTGTTTGGAGATGAAAGGGGGTCAGAATTTTACAATGTCAGGGCTGAGAGGGGCCTTGGAACAGGGAATGGAACAGGAAGGAAAATTAGAATACAGATTATCAGTGCTAAGAGAGATCATAGAGCAGAAGGTCAGAGATAGAGAGGATATTAAAAGATGGAATTCAAGAGCTGGAAGGAACCTTGGAAGACAGAAAGTCAGAGCTTGTAAGAACCTTAGAAGAGAAAATGTCAGAGCTGGGAGGGGCCTTGAACAGGGAATGTCAGAGCTGGGATGCCCCTTAGGACAGGGAATGTCAGAGCTGAGAGGTGTCTTAGAACAAGGCATGCCAGAGCTGGGAGAGCCCTAGAGCAGGGAATGTCAGGGCTGGGAGGGGCCTTAGAACAGGGAATTCTGGAGAGGCTTTGAAACATGGACTGTCAGAACAGGGAGCATTCTTAGGGACTGTAGTCTAAGCCACCCCACCCCCATTTAGTAAAAGGGAATGGCCTTTTCTAGTGGCAGACACAGGTCTATAACCCGGGTTATAGATTCCTCAGGTAGTGGTTGTTTGTTGGAGGTTTTTCCCACCCCCACTTCCATGTGTGGATGATCAGTACAGAGCTGCTGGAAGCCTGGCACCATCCCATAACCCTGCCACCCTCAAACCCAGTCTTTCCTGCAGAGATTTCCCCTGGGATTCCATTGCATTTCCCCTCACCTCCTGGGCCACCATCTGCCTCCACCCACATTAACTCTGTGCTAGTCCCTATTCTTATGTGCAATGATGCTTGAAGTAACTTGGCTTTTGTTACAGGGGCTTCTTGATTTTGCTTTTTTTCCTTCTACTACTTTCCATATCCCCAGATCCTTCAGCTGATACTTCCCACCCCACACCCAACCCCTTCATTATCCTTAAACTGGGGACGTGGTGTCATGGCACCTGAGTTCAAATCCCATCTCCTCCACTTAATCCCTACGTGACCTTGGGCAAGTCACTTAACTTGTCCGTGCCTTGGTTTCCTCAATTGTAAGACTAGTAGGTCAGACTAGAGGATGTCTAACATACCTTCCAACTCTAGGTCTATAATCCTATGAGCTCATCTCTGCAAGGTATAGAGGACAGAACAAAAAGACACAGAACCCTGCTCTTTCTCTCAGGCCCTCAGTGTAACAGTAACAACAACCCCAAAATCCATGGAAAATGCTTTTTCTGGATTTGTCAAGAAGCAACACAGCATAGTGGAATAAGCATTGAACTGAGAGTCCAAGACTTGAGTTCCAACTCTGGCTCTGCTTCTAACTCTCTGGGGGCTTTCCCTCTCTCACCTCAGTTTTCTCATCTGCAAATGGCGGAAACGGATTGGCCCATCTCAAAAATTCCTCTCAACTCTAAATCCTATCATCTTCTGGTACTCCAGAGCAAAAGGAAGAGAGAAAGCAAGGGTCTTCCTCTAGAAGGGAAATGGTGATAGAAGTCTCGGACCCATTCTGTTCCCAGATAGCCCTGACCTAACATGCTCAATCAGTTCTGTGATCAAGTGGATTTTGAGAAAACCAGGTGACTGAAGTGGTTGGTTTTTGTAGGTTCATAATCAATGGATGATGGGATACACAGTATTGCACTGAGTGGTGCTTTCTTAGTCTCGTGATAACATTTGGTTATAATGTGTTCACGATCATTTTGTGAAACAATTTTGGTGAGGCTGCCTCTGGAGGAGAGGGGGTACTATAGGGCTAGTATTTGACAAAAGGGGCATAGTAGATAGAGTCTCGGATAGGGTCTAGTATAGGATAGGGTCTAGGATAGGACAGGAGTCTAGTAGATAGGGCCTGGAGTCAGGAAGACCTGAGTTCAAATCTAGCCTCAGACACAGACAGGCTGTGTAATCCTGGGCAAGTCACGTCACCCTGTTTGCCTCAGTTTCCTCATCTGTAAAACGAGCTTCAGAAGGAAATGGCAAACAACTCCACTATCTTTGCCAAGAAAACCCCAAATGGGATCACAAAGAGTCAGACATGACTGAAACAACTGAACAGCAACAATAATTTGACAAAGCCTCCTATGCTGTTCTTATAAGA